ATAAAAAAATTACTAACGGAAAATGAAAACTAACCTCTACATTTTATTTTACTCTATTATTAGTATTAATAATAACATTGAAACTTTTCATACTCAATGTTTTCTTAGGAAAAGATTAACGTAATAAAAAATTTGCATGTGAAATCATATTGTTATTTTTTTTAGCAAAGTTTTTTACAAAGTTTTAGAGGAATTAATTTATCAGTTGTATTACAAGTTTTATCATCTTTATTTTATTCTCTATGTTAAAAATTGATAATAAATTTTTCACGTTTCTGATCGATCAATTGATTTGTTCTGATCAATCAGTTGATTTAAATTAAGTTTTGCTTTATTTGGTTTAATTTCATGAATACTTTGCAAGTTTAATAATAAATAAGTGGCAATCATAATAATTTGTTCTAAATGTTTGCATTTATTTGCTTAGCAAAAATTCATGAAAGGTTGCAAGCGTGCATGTTTGAAAATGGTGTCGATGGCATGAAAATATACAAAATTATATTACTTTCCGACTTGAAACGATTTCTTTGCATAAAATTCAGAGATTCTAATCTTTTATTCTAATTTATCGGTTTTTTTTTCATTGAATTGCAATAAGAGATTAGAAAAGACAAGAAAAAAGTTTTATTCATTGCATTGCTTCGCAAATTTTATTTTTTTCACAATTAAATCATTGTAATTTCATTCATTTTGTTATTAAATTTTTTAAAATAATTACTTTTTTTTTCAAATTAAAAAAAATTTGTTGATAAAATGTTGCAAAAAAGAAAAATAATGGCAAAGTATACAAACAAATTTGATTTTTTTTCTTCAATTTTTTTGAGTTTTTCACGTTTTTTCAACAATTGTGCGTGATATTTTATTTTCGAATAATTTTGAGTTCTTTAATCTCACAAATTTTTATTGATCTATGGGAGGAAGATTATTTTGTGTATGTATGTGTATTCAGTAAAAATACTTTTTCGTTTTTTTTTTTTTTTTTCAAATAAATTTGTGAGGTTTACTTTTAATCGCATTAAGGGACAGAAATGTTTGTACATACTTTCCAATAAATTTTTTTAATATTAAATGTAAAATGAAATGATGTGATATTTTATCAGCTAAATGCGTTCATCACACAAGTGAAGTGATAAAAGTTATTTGTAATTGAGTACTGTGCTTTAAAATGACAAATTTACGCATGATACTACTTGTCTTGCATGTTTTAGTCTATGCCAAACCAGATGAGATCAATGCTTTTCGTGATAAGTTGTTTATCTTGAAATTTAGATTAAGCGTAGTTCACGTGCATAAAAATAATTATGTAATGTGAGCACTTCAAAGAAAATGTTAAATATTATACAAAAAGTAGAATGAAGAGGAACAAATGTCAAAGAGAACAAAATGTCAGAATAGAATTTGTTCAACGAAATACAAGTAAATAAGTAAGTACTTAAGTGATGTAATTAAGTAAAATGAAGTGAGGTAAAGTGAAATAAGTCAAGTCAAGTCAAGTCAAGTCAAGTAAGTAAGTAAGTAAAGTAAGTAATTCATAGTTGTTAAACTTTGATGCCAAGTTAACTTTTTACACTCACATCTAGCTTGTTTACCTAAGTACTACATGAAATTTGTTCTACTTTAACTTTATGAAATTTGTTATATTACCTAAAAGCATAGAGATATTGAAACGAGTAAATAAACTGTTTAATAAAGTAGCAAAAGAAAAAGTAAATGGAAGAAGCAATGTGTTGCTAGTAGAAGCTTTTGCTAAGATTTTCACTTTTTCATTCATTCTTTCCATCAACACATCACAATAAAATGGTAATTAAAATCACAATTATTTGAGCAATACTTTTTTCGCTTTTTGCTTTTATCCTTTAATTATGCTAAATGTTAAAAATGCTATTTAGGATGGAAAAATAAAAAATAAAATAACTGTCAGTCAGTATTTTAGCGTTTTTTCCACTTTAAATCTTTTAAATCTATCTATCCAGCAATCTGTTTGCTTATCAATTCATTTGCTAATCAATCAGTTCAATTATTTGTTTATCCATTCATTGCTATTTGACCTTTACATTATTAGTACTAATTTAATTTCAGAAATTTTTCACTCATTTTTTCAATATTCAAATAATTTCCAAAGCATGAAAATAAGCAATCAAGTAAATTAATAATTATTTAATTTAAAAAATAATTTATTGATAAATTATTAAAGTAAGAAAGCAGTGATAAAATTAATATTAAATCTTAAGCATTGCAAATATATACATATCAAAAGATTTATTTTTACCAGTAAAATTTAACTGAATCATTTAAACCATTTTTGACTTAATCTCACTGTTTTTATCTGACTTAGATCAAATCATCTCAGATTGTTTTATCATTATTTACTCAATTTTTTACGTGAGGTAACTTACTTGCTTTTTTTGTCAATTATTTTCCATCTTTCAATACAAACTTTCAAAATGTTCTCCATTGAAGCACTAACATTTGCACCATAAAACTTATGTTAGTAAATTACGTTTACTTACGTCACTATTTACTACAGCAAAATATATTTGTTTTAATAACTTTAAAAGTTGGAAATGTATTTTGT